TGTTATAGATATGTTATTATTGATATGATTGTTATAGATATGTTATTATTGATATCATTATATAATCAGTATAGTATATTTTGTGCGCACATTTTCTTTTCATTATTGTATACTTACCTTTGCACCCCCGACATATATATATATATATATATATATATATATATATATATATATATATTTGGAGTGAGAAAGAGGGAGTGTGTGTGCGTGAGAGAGAGTGTGTAAGAGAGTAATTAAGTGTCTTGAATAACTCTTAATTCCTCTGTCTCACCTAAATATTTATCACGTTTATAATCATTATATATTACGACAATTACTCTTGATAAAGATATTATTTCAGGGGCGGGAATCTGATGTAGTCCAAATGTCAAACATTGGTCAGAATACAAAAAAACGGAAAGCATCATTTTATCAAATGAAAGCATAATTGAGTAAACTGGTGCGGTGTTAAATTAAAATATGACTAATCTGTATTCGAAGATGTTTTATGTTAAAAGAAGATACAACATATGAAATACTATTTTGACTTCTATTCAAAAAGATCATATTCAAGATAAGTTCGTTGTATCAATGAATATAAAGGTCAAAGTTAATTTACCCAATTAACATGAAATGCAACATTTAATATCAATATTCAATAATGGCGAATTGTAGTAGAAATTTTCCAAGCGTAGATTAGATGTAGCACATGGCCGTAAGTATTGGGCACGCAGTGAGGATCGAACTCACTACTCAGTCGTAATTGTTCTAGTGAGACAAGCTTGCTAACCATAACACCGCCTCGAGGTGTCCATTGGCGAATTGTAGCAGACAACTCACAAGTGAACTATTATACGTGCTGTCTCTATTCACTTTGTATATAGCAACTAGTAAAATTGGTCATTTTCTATGCGCTGCGTTCCTTCAGGTCTTAAGTGATTCTGGCCCTCCACAGCTTTCTCTCTCTTGTGTCTCTTAGCAATTTTTCACCATATACTAAGCACACTCTCCGTTCCGCCATCGATTCACACAAGATCACAAGTTGAGTGGTTTAATGTCTTCCGTTATCTTTTTTGCCCTAATGTATGCCTCGTGAGGGTAAAGTTTGCCAAGAACTCTTTAATCATTAGATGTCCAAGGAATTTCAGCTAATTTTTAATATAGAATAAATATTCTTTTTGTTACTCTTTTCTTTAAGACTTCCTTGTTTCTTACTCGATCAGGCCACTGAATTTTCAGTGTCCTTCTGTAGAACCACATTTATGTTGCCTTTAGTTTCTTCATAATCATTCGGGAATGTAAACAAGAACAAATACCACATAGCAATCAAGCATTCTTTTCTTTGTTTCTAAACATTTCTTTCCGTTTCTCAGCACTTTGCCTAGTTTTAGAATGTCTCTTTCGCTAGTACATTGCTTGTTCTTGCTTTGGTGTCACATTTTCCATCATCTGATAAAACGCTTCTCTGATATTTGAAATTCTGCTCCTGCTTGATATTTACAGGATGTTATGGGTAAATTATCGCCATTTTATATTTGTAATTTCGCGCATGCGCGTAGTTTCTTTTTTTTTTTTTCTTTTGATTTTGTTGACCGCACAGTGTAGTAGAGCCAGTTGGGCACCGTCTGTGAGAAAAAGTGCGCCATGACGTACTCCACGCCACAAGAAATTTGGAAACGGCATGCTGTACTGCATTGCATTCACACCGAAAATTCCAATACTAACATTTCAGAGTGTTTAGGTGTCAATGTGAGGACAGTGCATAGGACTCTTATAATGATTACGAAGGTACAGCTGCACGTAAAACACACTCTGGTCATTCTGATAAAAAAAAGAACTCCTGAATTTGTTGGTTAATGTCTCAGACACAACACAAAGACCTACATTAAATGCCTTGAGGATGTAGTGCTGCCATGGGTCAAGAGGGTTGCTGCTGGAGGCACGGTGGAGTAATGAATAGAGGCTTGGATTGCGGAATCGGAGAGCCGAGTTCGAATTCCAGTCGAATCCATTACATTCACTTACGTGCTAACACCCTTGGGAAAGGTGTGAATCCTCTTTCTTCTCCCTCCAGCTATGGGTAAATAGCAGAACAGACTGGGTTCTATAGCCTTGGATGGCAACTGGTCTAGGAGAAGGAAAACTCTGAATTCAAACCTGCTCTTAGAGGAGGGTGAATGGAGTCTCTCTGAGCCTTGGTTGGCAATCCATTTAGTGATGGTGTCACGCTAAAAAAAAACACCCTAGCGAAGCATCAAGAATTCAGCTATTTGACAAGATTATGAACTACACCAATCAAAGTAATTGTGAGTTCAATCTCTGCTGAGGCCCCAAGATGATGATGAAGACACTGGCAACAAGACACTGCATCATGCCACACAAGCCGGATAACACAGTCATGGCTGTCAGACAATTTCATCGACAACATTAACCCTTACATCTGGCCAACTAGCTCCCCAGACTGCAACCACCATTTATTATGTATTAGATGCAGTTGAACTAAAGGCCACCAAAGCTCTTTTTTAACACCAACGGAAGGCAAGGATAATAATGCATAATAATATATCTTTGGGCAATTTTGGTAAATATATCTGTTAAAATGAGATGTCTGTGTTAAGTTAATTTTGTGTCATTTAGACGACAATTTATCCATTGCACACTATATATCTTCAATTATTTGTTTTTTTTTTTTTTTTACTTGCTGATGACTACTTTGCAAATGATGGTTAGTCTTTTATCAGGCTTTCTTCTATCATCCCGTCTAGGAAGTTTTGTAGTCTTATATCTGAGTCAATCTTCAACACAGTGTCTTCTGTGTATCATATTTTTAAGATTACATTCACCGATAATAAATCCAGATAATTT